CCCCCCCCCCCCCCCTATTTTCTTTCTCTTTTTTTAGGCTGGCACACCCTTTCAGTATCAAGTGGCTCCAACCGCGCCTTATCAGTTAACGTGATTTAATTCTGAATTTTAACACTAAGGGCTGGGGACTGCATGCTTACTATAACTAAAATAAACGATGCGATGCTTAACGGTTTTACCATGTGAATAAACAACTGAATTAAAGCACAAATGCAATAAAAAGAATATTACATCTGGATCGTGACATCTTATTTGGAGTTTTGCAGAGACGCAGCTGACGCGCGCGCAGGTGCTGTTGCATACAGCTCGTGGAACATCAGTTGTGTTTGGAGAGTTAGCATACAATTTTCAAACACGATTCGTGGCACTCCAACGTGTTTAAATGGAAATCTAATCACAGCAGCCGATGTATAGACGGACCGATCCTTGACTGAGTCCTTGTTAAATTAAATTGAAAACACGCATGTTAGATGCTCGCAATATAGGAACATGTCAAAATATCACAACGTTAGACTAGTAGTGTCACGTGCCCTTACCTGTGCTCAAATTTAGGGAGCCGGAGTTATGTTGTCCAGATATAACATATGGCTTGTTCACACTTACCTTAACACATCATACACTGTAAAATTATTTTTCGAAGTTGTAAATAAAGCAAAGATTATTACAAGAAAACACTACCTACTGCAAAATTCGGCGTACTTAAGTGTTACTTGCAGCTTCTTTGTAATTAATTGGAAAATTTACTAACAATTTCTGACTCAAAATTTTTTCTAGACCAAATATTTTGCCAGTGTAGACAGATTAATTGCACACAAGATAAAGTGAACTATAAGGGAGTCTACATAATCCACCCAGACTTCCTAACATTAGATTTATCCACACTTCATTAAGTAGAACACACACTCTCTGTTGTGACATAAGGAAAACCTAACTGAATCATTTAATTATTATCATCATGGCATAGACAGCCTCTAATAATATAATGTGCTACTGTAAAGACGCAAAACAGTATATAGGTCCAGCAGTGCTGCAAGTATGAAAATGCATTATTCAGTGCAGCAGTTAACCATGACAGTAATATCATAAAGTTTTTAAGGCAAGTTTTCTACTGCTACGTGTTCAACATTATGCTTTGAGATCTGTGATTATGCATATTGCAAATAGTGGATAATATGTGATAATTGTGCTTGTTTCAGAACATGCTATGTCATGCCTGACATTTAAACTGTGGTAGTTTAGTAAGGATCAAAGACAAGGGGACTCTGCGATTTAGCTATATGATTAGTCAAGTAATTGTTTGATTGACTATGATTTCAAAGTTATGTGGTTTGCAAAAAATGTAAAGAGAATTATTTGATATATACAAATACATGAGTCATAAGTGTGTATGCGTGTGTAGGTGCTGACAGCACTTTCCTTAATTTCCACTTGTCTCTAATTGTCATAGTCAACAAAAATGGCCTAACAAATATATATTTCCAGACTATTTTATCACAAAACTGCGCCATCAATGTTCAGGCCTTTTCACGTTCCTGTTCCAGACACGTTCTCTAATCAAGCAGAAAGTAAATCACTTTCTCTTGTAAAGTAAGTACTTTTAAATAAAACTAATGTTCATTTGTGTGCAGGTTATTCCAGCCCCAGGGTCTGAGCTAAAACAGAGAGAAGCAGACAGACACACACACACAAACACACTCAGAGAGAGAGGGACGGATGGGAATCCGAGTCAACAGATCAGGACAGCCCATGCCTAAATAACAGATGCCAGGCACGTGAATAATGGCATTTGTGTGTATTTTCTCAAATGCTTGTTATCATGTCATTGATTTTATAGCTACTGGATACGTAACATTTATGGATCGTCTTTTCTTTGTCTTTTTTCATAATGCTGTAGATTGCAACCAGATTGCATATTTAGTGTAAATATTAAGATGTACAGTTCTGTAAGCTTCGGGAATTGTTCATTTTTACGTTTTATAAACTAAAACAAAAACAGGAGGCTGACCCCCATCCTCTGACTGTATGTTTAATAGGTGATGTGCTCATATCGTAACTCCTCAAAACCATGTATACAAACAGTGGATTTTTATTTTGTATTAATTCATTAATAAGAAAATAAATGTTTACAGTGACAAATGATGTTTTCATTCTCATTCATTTTTGCAATGGGGTAAAATATCTAGATGATCTAGACGGATTCATCTGTTTTGGTAAACACACTACGCAGTCAAAGCCCAGACGATCCTTATGTTGTGATAAACCCATTTCTACTAACAGCTGGTAGTGGTTACTAACAGTTACTATAAATGATTAAGTCTTTCAGAGCATTTTGTAAAAAAAATTAATAATTTCCAATGCGTTTCAGTTGTCTATGCATCAGTGCCTATTAACTATGCCTTTTTGTTTTTAGTTTTGTAAAATCTCATTTTAAAATCTGCAAAGTAAATTATTAATCATGTAAGAAGCAATATAAAATATATATAAAATAAATATGACTTGTATAGGAAGCCTTGATACAGCACTTTACACATGTATAAACTCAGGCTTTTGCACTACGTTATTAGAGAAAGGCCCAAAGCCTACAAACGTATCTGATTTTATTATCATCTGAATTTACTTTCTGGGTGAATAATGCCTTTATGATGTGCTCGACTTATTTCCACATACTTTTTTTTTTAAAGAAATGCGAACGCAAAACATTTTCAATTAAAACATTTTTATTTTTTTTTAACATGAACATTTTCTAATATAGAAGATGCTATGTTGACAATTTATTTTCATATATAAATTTTTTCCCAATTTTTTATTTTCTTTCCAGCTGTCTTTGCATTAAGCATTTCAGTCTGTGCGTGAAGCAAAGTGGAGAACTTGCTCTGAAAGACTGCTTACCCCTTAGGTTGACTTAACCCAGCCTCATCTATACAGACACAGACAGCCTCTAACATTTTGTATGACTTAACACATTGTTTAAATGTGCAGTTTCATTACTTAAAGCAGGTTGTGGTGTGAACGTTACTGATGTGCACTAAAGCATGCTATCAGTCTATCTGTCATGGTAGGATTTTGAACAATAATACTAATTAAAACTCAACAATACTTTCTTTCTTTCTTTTAGTTTTTTTTCTTTAAAGTAAAAGGACTAACACACTTTTATAAAGGATAACATTTCCCCCCCAGAACAAAAGAAAACAGATTTGTCCTTGTTGTCTAGTAGTTGTCTATATCAAATCACATTATGATTTTTCTCACCCTTTGTCTTAAAGTGCTTCAGTGACATTCAGATTATGCTGGATTTATTAAAAAATATATGGATTCTCGAAATACACTTCTGTACATCTGTACATATCTTGTAATTTTTTTTGACTCACTATTATACATCATGGTCATTTGAAATATTGCAAACTCACATTGAAAAAAATCATATGATTTTTAAATTATGCACTTTTTAGGATTAAACAATTGTGAATACTAAGTCAGGAATGCATCTGCCAAAAATAATACTCACGGCTGAGATGTGCAGAGAACTGTCTGCATTTTTTCTCACGGGCCACCTTAGAGATCTCCTTAAAGATTTTTTTTTTTTTTAAATATATGTGAAATAGAATGTGGGTTTATTTAGATCTTACATTAGACATTAGATTTTTTTATTTTATTTTATTTTTTTACCGTACCTCATGCTTCAGGTCACTTTGAAATGTACCTAGTGTTCAGTATGCTTTCAGTAAACCTCAAACTCCTCCTAAATCTGACCTATACAGACTAGACAATGATAATTACAGAAGAATATTACACTTTACTGCAAATAATAATTTCTCATTTGCACATTTAAACACTGGGATTGCAGTTTCAATCCCAAATGAGAGCAAAGGGGGAGATATCTGCATCAGCACACCCCAGTCGTTTCTGTCTACCATTTTGTATATTTTATTATTTTGACATTTTAAATGATACATTATATATTTTCAGAGCTACTGAATTTACAAATAATACTGTACATTGATTGGCTATAATCTGATAATAAAGAGACTTCTTTACATGTCTGTGTAATGACATTTTACCTTTATTGTTTTTTTCAGGCATCTAAAAATGATTTAGAATGATGAAAAATGTAACCTAAAAACTTCTTCCCTTTCCACTTTATTGTTTGAAGTTAAAGCTATTTCTACATATAACTCATATAGACTATTGAAATGAGCTGAATCAGACTAAAGCAACTTCTAAAACGTGTTAAATAATCCTAAAACTGACTTTGTTTGAAATAATTATTTATGTTATCTGTGAGATCTTCTGCTAACATCAATGTTCAGTCATTTTAATTGTAAGTCATTTTATTTGAATTATTTTGTTTAATTTTTGTTATTAGTGATGTATCACATTCAATACCTCTCATGACTTTAGTTGCATTAAAACCTGCAGCTTTATGCACATAACAGTATTGTATATAAATACTCGAGGACAAAGAAAAAAAAATAGATTACTGAAAACGCAGTTTATTTTTTATGTCTGTTCTCAATTTAAAGATTCTTCAAAGATTTTTGACTCGATCATTTATGCTTAGCTCTTATCCCTAATTTTTACAATTAAAAATAATTTTTTAATTATGGTAGATTTGCTGATATTATGTCATATCACGCCCCCTCAAAAAACTGCTGTGAAGCAAGCAAATCTATGAGGCTGGAGGGAATTCGGCAGATTTTATTTGAATTTCAACAAACACAGTTTTGTATGTTTTTTAAGCCTTTTGTTTTAAGGGGACACAGGAAGTGTCCTCATAAACCATGCTTACGTTGTAGTACCCATGTCATTATACACATTTGTGTCCTCATAAACCATATATACCTGTACACACACACACACACACACACACACATTCACTCACACACTCACACAGACAGACTGAGACTAATCGACCCCATCTTTACATGTTACCTAAAATATTTAGTCTGTCATTTCCATCTGACTATCCAAATCATGTAATCTGAAAACATGGAAATGTCAGCTTTCCAGCATTTTGCTTATGCAATTGTTACTCTCCTCTTTGCGTGTAATACTGCAGAATCTTTTACCTTTGCTTATCCTTTTATTGCCTGTATATTTAAATTAAGACTTTGAAGAGTCATAAAACAATTAAAACTGACTAAATGTAGTCATACCTGTGTCCTTTCTGTCTGACATCCAATATATAGTCAAATATTGAGTCAGGATTACCAATACAAACCAAAATGTTGTTTATTAAGGCACATTTATGTGTTATTTTAATTCTGACTGTGGCGTATTAAAAATTAAAGCTCAACCAGAACACTCAATGCAGGCATTTATATAAAATGTTAAACAAGGTTTCCTACAGGTTATGCAGGCATACCGTCCTTCATAAACATCAGACGCATGAGAAACATTTTGACCCATCATATAAATGCTGTTTATGGTTTATTAAAATATTCAAAATTCACACTGATCTGGCCCGTGTTTCCCAAAAGCACCGTAAGCATCATAGACATCATTTGCATCAATAGTTTGTGTGTCAATCCCTAAGTACAAAAAACCTGACAAATTTCTTTTTGTGGATGTCCTAAAAGTAGTTCAAAAATAAAGTAATGATTTTTTTTCTTAAATAAAATTAAGGCTTGGCTTAAGCTTAGACTGTAGTAATAATCGTTGTCTTTAATTAAATATAATAGAAGTTATAGTGTGTTACAATGAAAGTGTGTGATTTAGGTGTGTGTATCCATGTTCAAGGATCTGAGATTCAAACTATTTATCTGTGTTTCTTGTTCAAACACTCTGGTTGTCTTGTGTCTTAACCTGCCCACTCATTACAGTCTTCTTAATCAGCATTGTCTTCTGTTGTTTGCACTTCTTTTTATACATTTTTTTGTTCTGACTGATGAGTAATAGCTACCTCAAAAACAAATCTGCCAGTATTGTGAAAATGAAGATGCATTGTGAAAAAAAAAAATTGTACTTACTTTGAATGTACATGAGTTCTGTATGAAGCATGTTTATTTCAGACATTGTAAATGAGTAAATAAAAAAACCAAGACAAAAGTGAGAGAAAAACGGAAGCAATTATGTGCAGTAGGTACAGTATGTAAAATGTGGGTTATTAGTGAGAACCAATAAGAACATACTACTACTACTAATACTACTACTACTACTAATAAACAGAGATTAGTTGAGCACTTGGAATATCTTCTATAGCTTTGAAGATGTTTATAATATTTGCATGAAATATCTCATTAGTATTTATTGTTAGATATCACCTAAAACATATTACACTACCTGTTTAATTTTTTTTCATTAAACTTGTTACTTTGACTGCTGAGTTATCTTCAAATGTACCCACACACACACACTCACACACACACATGCATTGTGTTTACATGTTTTATGGGGACATTCCATAGGTGTAATGGCATTTATACTGTACAAACTGTATATTCTTTCCCCTTACCCTAACCCTACCCCTAAACCTACCACTCACATTTTAAGATTTTCAAAAGACTTCATTCTGTATAGATTTATTTTTCCTCATAGAGACCAAAAGTGTTCCTACAAGGACAAGGATTTTGGATAATGCCATCTTTATGTGGACATTTTTTTCGCCATAATGTATGGTATACCTGAACCCCCCCCCCACACACATTCACTCAAGTTTTCACTCACAAACTGCAGGAAGCTCTTGCAGTGCATGTGTGTTGTGGACATGTAAATCTGTACTCTAAAAAAGATGGTTCTTTTAGGGTCTTTTCATGTAGTAACAGTTCTATTTAGAACCATATCATCCTGAAAAACTCTTATGCTGAAATAGTTCTTTGCGTTTAGGCTTTTTTTTTTTTTTTAATCTGTAACTGTCAAGGCCACCTCATTGCTAAATTTTTGGAGCTTAACCATTCAACATCACAAGACTGTCAACAGACTCTTGACAGGTAAATGATTTCATTCGTAATCTATGAATTGTCTATACATTTTAACTTCTGAATTGTAACTGGTTTCCTACCAATCAAGTGTGAGCAGCTCTGTTCAGGTGAGGATACTTCTCTCCTCTTCTCTACTAAGTAAGTAACAGTGATATTGAATTTATGATCCATATTGTTAGAATTTGAAATTACTAACTAAACATGG